CCCATCAGTTGTTTCCAGGTTTGTCAGCACAATACTCAGTATGTGGGTTTCAAAAGTGGTAAAATCTGTGAAGATCCAGGTTAGAATTGATCTTCAGTAACCCGTGCTTGTCGTAAGATGCCACTAACTGGATCGGGTGGTCAGGCTCGCTGACTAGGTGGACACAGGTCATCAGTTCCCAATTAATTCGATTGATGCTCATGATGTTGATCACTGGATTGTCTGGTCCAAACTTGATTATTTACATATTGAAAACATTTTTGTAAAATAACAATGAGGATATTTATGCATGTACAATAGAACATTATTTAGATTTTCACTCGCCAGCCTCACGACAATGATTGATGATTTCGTGTCCCCAAATACCTCTGGATGATGATCTCTAGGTGTCACCTTCTTTCACTACTTGATGAAAAAAGACAATTTACACAAACATGCATGGTTCCTTTGAACTGTTTCCAGAGACAGTTATCACAGAGTTTGTTTGTTCGTAGATTAACGCCACACCTAACAATGTTCCAGTCCGTAAATTGGTCCAAAGCAACCACTGTTTATATAACAGTTGAGATTCCAATATCAAACTTGTACAAAGCAACCGATAGTAAAATATGACTGTATGGATTCTGGATTCCACACCTAACAATGTTCCAGCTGTAAAGGTTCCAGCGGTCTGTCAAGAATCAAGCCTGGACCAGACAATCCAGTGACTAACAGCATTAGCATTGATCAACTTATGACAAACATGGGTTACTGAAGACCAATTCTAACCTGGCTCTTTATGGGTAAGGTATCACACAGTGCGTGAATGAGTGAGTGAGAGGGTGAGTGAGTGAGTGAGTGAGTGAGTTGAGATAAATGCTGCCTTGAACAGTATCCCACTTACATCAAGGGAGAATTTAATGTGTTTACCATGAAACCCATTCACACAGGGTGGGATTCTAACCGATAATCTGGCATGTCCAAGTGACGCAACTCTGAGCCTTAGACAACTTGGCCAACCATGCTCCCAGCAATGTAACGGAAACTCCTTCAACAGTTTGTTGAAACAATACAAAATATCTAAACTAAAATGAAAATAACCAGAATAAATCAATTATCATGACCATTTTTCATGCCAATAAGTGTCCATTTATGGCATTAACTTTCAATTAGAGTCCCATGTGAGATAAAAATCTTAAGCTTGAGTAAATAATGTTCCAAATAGTATTCCAAGTGCATCTACTCAAAAAGAATCTGCAAGCAGATGGCATCTGCTCTCAAGGCGATTTGTCTTCATAAGAGGAAAATGGCCAATAGCGATGCAACATTTACATAACTAGCCATAAATATCATGATAAATCAATATATCAAATTTATTTTCTTGAAAATCATTTCTTCCTTATGTGCCTGTGACAAGCACATTATCAGTTCATCAATCAAGCTGTACTGCCGGGTAGGCTACTGATGTCAGGCTTCCAGCAGAGGGGCCATCGTTGGGATATCCTGGCCAGGGAAAGGTTCCCCAAGTCAGTGTTGGCATTTATCCAGAAAGACTATCCACCTCCTACTGTTAGTCCAGAATCTTTTTCAGATCCAACATTGTTTACTATGTTCAGAGGTGGGGGTGGGGTATTGGATGGGTCAGTGAGTGTGACAGAGTGAATGTGACAGTGATTGAGTGATTGATTGAGTGATTGATTGAGTGTGTGTGTGTGTGATTGAGACAGAGTGAAGGTGACAGAGTGATTGAGTGAGTGTGTGATTGAGTGAGACAGAGTGAATGTGACACAGTGATTGAGTGTGAGTGATTGAGTGAGACAGAGTGATTGAGTGAGCGAGTGATTGAGTGTGTGATTGATTGAGTGAGTGACTGAGTGAGTGTGTGATTGAGTGAGACAGAGTGATTGAGTGTGTGATTGAGTGAGACAGAGTGAATGTGACAGTGATTGAGTAAGTGTGTGATTGAGTGAGACAGTGAATGTGACAGTGATTGAGTGAGTGTGTGATTGAGTGAGACAGTGAATGTGACAGAGTGATTGAGTGTGTGAGTGAGACAGAGTGAATGAGACAGAGTGATTGTGACAGTGATTGAGTGATTGAATGTGAGTGAGTGAATGTGAGTGAGTGAATATGAGTGAGTGAGTGAATGTGAGTGAGTGAGTGTGTCAGTGAATGTGAGTGAGTGAGTGCTGAACAAAATCACACAAGGATCACCAGAAATGAACTTCACACACTGTACAAATAAGAGAAAACTGACTTGGGAATTAGTGATGAGTGAGGTATTTCCACACAAGGCTACCTAACAATTTCAATTTATCGTTAAATATCAAGCAACTAAATACAAAGGATAAACAAGACTACAGATGTTCAGCACTCAACCATCCATCCATTGTCCTTGAGCTCCTAGAACACACCCAACCACTGACCCCTACATCCATCCACTTATCCATTGGTCCCTCTATCTATTTATCCATCCATAGAACATACCCATCGACCCCTCATCCATTTATCCATCCATAGAACATACCCATCGACCCCTCATCCATTTATCCATCCATAGAACATACCCATCGACCCCTCATCCATTTATCCATCCACAGAACATACCCATCATCCCCTCATCCATTTATCCATCCATAGAACATACCCATCGACCCCTCATCCATTTATCCAGCTAGCCAGTAAGACCTCCATCCATCCACCTTTTGTTCTGGAGCCCATAAAACATACCCACCTTTACCTCCATCCATCCACCGATTGTTCTGGAGCCCATAAAACATAACCACCCACCCCTCCACCCTTTCAAACCCCCTTCCTTCATCCATACTTCAGCATATTCTTGATACCTGTAATGCTTGCTGTTAACATCTTCTACTATAACCAAGCCTGAACTTCAAACCATTTAATTTGTTATTTCAACAAACATTCTCTCAACTGAAGCTGATACTGGCCGAGGGCAGTAATTACACTGAATACAGTACGGAAATATGTTAAACCTGAGGCAGGTTGTCAAGAAAACAGTGCTTTCACTGTGCATTCACCACCTGTAATTACTACACAACAGCCTTCTCATTAACACAGCCGATATGAATGAGAAATACCACCCCATTGGTCCTTAGGTGAGGTGAGGTGAAATTGGGTTTAACGTCCTGCTTGAGAATATTTCGCTCATATGTGCATGCGTGTGTATGTGTAAGTGCGGCTGCTTGCACTAGCCCAAACTGAAGCTGGTTTTATAGTGCTAGCCCACTGAGATACAATGCCACAGTGAAGCATGAATACCCCTCTCAGACACATTATACTGACTCCGAGCCGACCAGTCCTTGTACCCATTAATGCCGAGCGCCAGGCAGGGAGCAACAAGTACCATATTTTAACGTCTTCTGGTATGACGCGGTCGGGGATCGAAACCCGTGACCTTCCGCTCTCCGGGTGGACGCTCTAACCACTACACCACGGAGGCAGTTTATCTGTCCTGAGACCCACAATGCTAACCTCATGGAGCATGGGCACAAGTAACCCAGTTGCTAGCCTTGCTCCAAGGCTGTACTAAGTGCTAAGCCCATGCATGTATAGTAATTCTATCCTTTAAAGAGACAAGTCGTGTCCCCAAATACCTCTGGATGATGATCTCTAGGTGTCACCTTCTTTCACTACTTGATGAAAAAGACAATTTACACAAACATGCATGGTTCCTTTGAACTGTTTCCAGAGACAGTTATCACACAGTTTGTTTGTTTGTAGATTAACGCCACACCTAACAATGTTCCAGTCCGTAAATTGGTCCAAAGCAACCACTGTTTATATAACAGTTGAGATTCCAATATCAAACTTGTACAAAGCAACCGATAGTAAAATATGACTGTGTGGATTCTGGGCTATGGCAGCAGCCGGTGTTATCATACTGTAAGATTCAAAGTTAGAACAGGTCGTAAATGCCCACTAATCCCAGCTAAAACTGAGGATCATGCAAGATGACTCAAGAACCCAGTTGCAGATGCCACTTCAACACAGTAAACCAAAAAGCTATAATATCTGACACGTTTCTAGGCAGCTCTCGTTACACCTGCTTCCATACTACATCCATCCATGCTTTAGAACTGAATCTCCTGAGAAGTCTATTATTTATAGCCTTGTAAACAGTCATATCATCATCTATGGAGGGTTATCTGATCACTTCCTTTTGAAAAATATTTCAGTTTGTACCATTACTTCAACTGGTAAATTCTGCGCTGTAGAATCGGCACCTGTACTTACAGTCTCTGCCACAGAATTACTTATCTTTGGAGGGTTGTTTGATAAATTCTTCCTTAAAAATAGTGCAGTTTTCATCATTCGTTTTGCACCAGTCAAAGTAAGTAATTAATCATAAACTAGAGAAGTACTTGTTTTTTACCCGTAACTGCTTTTCAGATATTGTAAGATAGTTGGCCTATTTACCATGTATTTACCTATTCACCATATATTCCAAAAGAGTATCATTATGATGCATTCTTGTCTGAAGCACTCAGTTTATAAGATAATAATAATAATAACGATTTATACAGCGCCTGTTTCCACACACTTGGGCACGCTGACAGCACATTATTACCCTGGATAACCCAAGCTGCTTGGTGGTGCTAGAAGGTTATACTCATGTGACTTATCTCACCGGGTACTCATTTTCTGCTGGGTGAACAGAGGCAATTTTGAACAAACTCACTTGCCTAAGGTGAGACCCTCAGGAATCAAGCTGCCACACACGGTCACCCATCCAAGGACTCTGCGCCCAATGTTGTTTAACTTCAACTGATTTGATCTTGTTATTCTACCTCCAACACAGTGGGGTTCTACCCAACAAGAATCAGTTTTCCATTTACAGATACACAATCTACTAAACGATGACAAGTGAAACATAAAATTCTCACTCCCCAGCAATTTTTTTTGTGATAAAAGTCAGAAGATGCAAGCAGCATACAGAGATGGACTCGACTTAATTCGTAACAACAATGGCTGCTTCTTGTTCAGGATTGACCAATCACCTTGAGTGTGTGTGACTTGAGGCTGCTCTCGTTGGTGTAGCTGCGATGGCAGATGACGCATTTGAACTGCTTGTTTGTCGCTTTCTTCACCTGGTCGTCATGGTTTCGTAGATGATGTTGGAGGTTGGACAACTGGGCAAACGCTCGGTCGCACCCATCTTGGTTACATCGATATGGTTTTTCTCCTGAAAACAAGACCACATTCATTAAATGTGTACCGAATATATAGAAAGGTCATTAGAAGTACAACAGAATCATCTCCCTCAAACTGAAATTGCCTTAGTTATATCAATATGGTATTTCTCCTGAAAAGAAAAACAAGATTCATTAATCATGTACCAAATATAGAGAAATGTCAGTAGAAGCGCAATGAAACAGAGTCCAGAACCCAAATTTGCTGGCCATTCAATCAGACCAGTGAGATCCATGCACACCAATTACTACATGACATTCTGTCAGACATCAGTTTTCTGATACGTTGTTTCAAAACGTATCTTCCTTCTTTGTTGGTGTTGGTTGGTTGCCTACTGCAGCACTTACCAATATTCCAGCTATATGGTGGCGGTCTGTAAATAATCAAGTCTGGACCAGACAATACAGTGATCTACAGCATGATAATCGATCTACGCAATTGGGATATGATGACATGTGTCAACCAAGACAGTGCGTCTGACCAACCAAGCCCATATCTAACAAGCATTAGCAATAGTTATCTGAAAGTCGTGAGTATTGTTTTAGTATAGACTGACTGACTGAGCTGGGTTTTTTACGCCGCTTTTAGAAATATTCCAGCAACATCACGGCGGGGGACACCAGAAATGGGCTTCACACATTGTGCCCATGTGGGGATTCGAACCCGGGTCTTCGGCGTGACGAGCCAATGCTTTAACCATTAGGCTACCCCTACGCCCCTTTTAGTATAGAATCAACATGCATTTTGTCTATAGTCACAATCAAAGTGGCGCAACAATAACACAACAGACTTTGTTACCTGTTGATGAATGCGATGATGAGCATGAGAACAAGATACGAGAATATTTATTAAAACTCAAACACCATAAAGTTTTGCTGCAGAGTTAAGTATTTCAACTGAAGCATGAATCATGCATCCATTAAAGTACAAAGAGGAAAGTATTCCTAATTTGACCTCAGGTCATCGCCATGGAGTAGCCAATCAGGGACCAGGAATTGGCTTTCACGCCTGTTTGATACCAGGTGTGTATGTAGATCTATTTCAACATTGATAGTAATCAGTTTTTCATTTGTTGCATGTTTTCATTTGTTGCATGGTTCTCCCATCTGTTGCCACATACACGTTTCGTCGTCAAGTTCACAGCTTGGTGGAAAGTATCAGCTATTCGTCACACCCTACACCACACTACTGCAGTTGGGTATCTAGAGACATATCATAATCTATATATCCATCGACGCAATAATCTTGATTTCTGGGTATTTACACAGGCTGAGGTTTGACTGGGCAGTACAAGCAATGGGATCAATATTGGAGTTATAACATGGTTTTGTTGACTTCATGTGGGACTATTTCAGTTATAACATGGCTTGTTTGCTTCATGTGGGACTATTTAAATTATAACATGGCTTGCTGACTTCATCCGAGAGTATTTCAGTTATAACATACCTTGCTGATTTCATGTGAGAGTATTTCAGTTACAACATGGCTTGTTTGCTTCATGTAAGAGTATTTCAGTTATAACTTGGCTTGTTTGCGTCATGTTGGAGTGTCTGAGGTATAACATGGCTTGTCAGATTCACGTGAGAGTATCTCAGTTATAACATGGATTTGTTAACTTCATGTGGGACTATTTCAGCTTCAACATGGCTTGTTTGCTTCATGTGTGAGTGTTTAAGCTATAACATGGCTTGTCAGATTCACGTGAGGGTATTTCAGTTATAACATGGCTTGTTTGCTTCATGTGGGAGCGTTTCAGTTATAACATGCTTGTGTGCTTCATGTGGGGTAGTTTAGTTATAACATGGCTTGTTTGCTTCATGTGGGAGTATGTCAGTTATAACATGGCTTGTTTGCTTCATGTGGGATTAGTTCATTTATAACATGGCTTGTTTGCTTCACATGGGAGTGTTTCAGTTATAACATGCTTATGTGCTTCATGTGGGGTAGTTCATTTATAACATGGCTTGTTTGCTTCATGTTAGAGTATTTCAGTTATAACATGGCTGGTTTGCTTCATGTGGGAGTATTTCAGTTATAACATGGCTTCTTTGCTTCATGTGAGAGTATTTCAGTTATAACATTGCTGGTTTGCTTCATGTGGGGTAGTTCATTTATAACATGGCTTGTTTGCTTCATGTTAGAGTATTTCAGTTATAACATGGCTGGTTTGCTTCATGTGGGAGTATTTCAGTTATAACATGGCTTCTTTGCTTCATGTGAGAGTATTTCAGTTATAACATTGCTTGTCAGCTTCATGTGAGAGTATTCAGTTATAACATGGCTTGTCAGCTTCATGTGAGAGTATTTCAGTTATAAAATTCTTACCAGTGAGTTCTGGCATCAGAAACCATGTGGCCAAGTCTAGCAGCTCAGACTATGGTATTGTATGACACTAGTGACAGAGTCCAAAACATTGCAGCTATCAGAGGTGATTGCCACCTACTGAAAGGTCAACAGCAGGTTGTGGGGCCCGTACCAGGTACTGTTACAACAGTAATTGTGCCATTTAGCATCCTTCTTTGAGATATTTCAAGACAACACTGTTGGAAATTATAGCAAAGTTATCTAATTTTCCAGATGAAAGTGGGTGGGTTTGGACTTTTCTTTGATTGCTCTGTTTGAAAACAAATTTGTGTTGTGACCTATTTCCTGTTTCCCTGACAATCAGCATGTGTGATTGGTGGGTCCCTCCTTGTGCCATTGCTTTGGCTTTCCTTCTGACAACTGAAGCCTCACAGGACATGGCACTATCAATTCCATTAACACAACCTTGAAGTTGTTCTGATCAAGTTCTGGAAACTAGAAATGAAAAGGTCAACATTGTGTGATGACCAATGGTTTTCTTCAAGGAGACAACGTTGCCATGGACACAGAACATGTTTGTTCTACACCCTTATACAGATATTCTTTGACATGCAGGGCAGGGCAGGGCAGGGCAGGGCAGGGCAGGGCAGGGCAGGGCAGGGCAGGGCAGGGCAGGGCAGGGCAGGGCAGGGCAGGGGCAGGGCAGGGCAGGGCAGGGCAGGGCAGGGCAGGGCAGGGCAGGGCAGGGCCTTATACCGAAAATCTTGATTATATGAAATCTTGACAATGACAGGGCCTTATACAGAGTCGCAATACTGACTGACTGAGTTTTAGTTTTACGCAATATTCCAGCAATATCACGGCGGGGGACACCAGAAATGGGCTTAACACATTGTGCCCATGTGGGGAATCGAACCCGGGTCTTCGGCGTGACGAGCCAACGCTTTAACCACTAGGCTACCGCCCCAGAGTCGCAATACAGACAGGGCAGGGCATTAAACAGAGTATCGGTGACAGAGCAGGGCATTATACAAAATCTTGATTATATTGAATCTTGACAGTGACAGGGCCTTATAAGTCGTAATACAGACAGAGCAGAGTATTAAACAGAGTATTGATGACAGATCAGAGCATTATACAAAATCTTGATTATGACAGAACAGAGCATTATACAGAGTCTTGATGACGACTCAGCATTATAGAGAGTCTTGATGATGACAGGGCATTATACAGAGATTCATGATAAAATCAGGGCATTACACAGGGCATTTTACTAGGTCTTAATACAGACAGCATTGGGCATTCACTACTTTAAAATGTTTGAATATTCAAAACAGTAAGCTGATTTTACACTCCTGTGAGACTGGGTTTACGCTTGTCACTGATGTAGAAGTTAGTGGTTTATTGTATAATGCCCATGTAATCTCATCACAGACCATTCAAACCAACGACATTATGTTCAAATCCAGTGATATCAAAGAAGATCAATTGAGCTCCCCAACAGTGCAATAACCATGATGGATTACTTCCAGTGATCAAAGCTGCAAACATAAACCCAACATCAACTAGAATTGATGGCACGGCCATTTTCTGCTTCTTAAAATTGACGACAATATTACTGCAATCAAGTCTTTACTTACGATAACAAAATACCACTGAAATAAGTTATGTGGCTTTAATTTGTCGCAAGAACAGAATAAATGAGAAACAAAAAGATATGTTATTTTGTTGGAATTTATTGAGAATCTCTGGACATCAAATTTGGATGTAAATCCTTGTAACTGCCATCCTGCTCACTAACTTACTGTAAGTTTATCAAATACTGTACAATATTAACACAAATTTAGAAAATGGTCAAACGTAACACGTTATGTTTGAGATTATACTTTGTCAGTAAGGTACACATTCTAGTATATTCTGCGGAAAATATCCATAGAGGATTTGAACCCGATCTGAGCAGCGATCTAACCCTCTCGGCCACAATTCACAAAACAGAAGTTGGACAACTGGTAGTCTAGACTACATACTTTGTGTACCTCTCATGTACCACATGGGTACAAGGTGTGAAGCCCATTTCTGGTGTCCCCCGTTGTGATATTGCTGGAATATTGCTGCTTAAAACTAAACTCACTCACACTACAAAGTAGTTAAACGTAACATATGTTGTATTTTTTATTAAACTTTCTCTGTGAAAACTTATTCTAATCTGTACTTTACTTAGAAAGTGAAAAACCAAGCATAATATATGTAACAGTATGAGAGCTGTCTAAAACGTTTTGTACAGTTATATCTGGTTATATAACAACTATGCATAATTAGTAAGCGAGGGAGTATAGTTTAACGCCACTTTTAGCAATATTCCAGCAATATCACGGTGGGGACACCAGAAGTGGGCTTCACACATTGTGCCCATATGAGGAATCGAACTCGGGCCTTCAATGTGACGAGCGAACGCTTTAACCACTAGGCTACCCCACTGTCCCTAATTACTACATGAGATTCTGCCACATACCAGTTTTTTGATAAGTTGTTTCAAAATGTATCTAACATTTTGTTATTGTTGGTTGGTTGTTTAATATGTCACTGAGCAATATTCCAGGTATATGGCCAGTGTATGAAATAAGCCCTGTCCGACCGCTCAAGATGGGCTAGATTTCTGACGGACGGTCAAAATTTACAGCTATCCAG